AATTGGCCATTTTATAATTATTTTTTCTTTTAAACTAAGCTACTAGATTTTTAAGCTAAAATAAATTCAAAATTTTATTTTTTTCTTTTAAAATCAACAACAGTCCCACTTTATTTCACAAGGCTTTTATTATTCACAAGAACGAAAACATCACATAGTAAACTTGTAAAAAAAGTGTAAAATAAAAATTAATAATCTAAAGCTTAAGGCATTCTTTTCACACAAAAAATATATATTTAAAGAAGTACAAGAGATCATATTAAAAAAATGTAATTGTAAAAAATAAAGGTCAACCTTCCTTGAAAGAAAAAGTTGCATAAACGTTGAGGAGTGGTAATTTTTACACAAGCATCGGCATTTCTCCGCCCACGCTACACCTCCAATGAGAAGATACTGAGAGAATCAAGTTGCTGGAGCGCAACATAGGAGAGTAATTCAAAAAAATTTTAAGAGGGCGTAAAATTTTACCACCACCTCAACAGTTAAAGGTTAACAGCTCCTGAGCAATGCTCATTCGACGGTTCTTTTGGTCCAAGTTAAGCAGCTTCGGAACACATTTCGCTGACAAGAGTTTTAAGCCAAAATATCGGAAAAAATTACATGGAATTAAATGGCATGGAGATGCCAACGTCTTCAGCCAGTTCCCCAACACCGTTTTCATCACATCCTCAACGCTTTCAACCGTTGTTGCCGTGCTGGGCTGCGTTCAGAGCGTGGTTCGTTATTGGTGTCTGCTGTCAAATAAATAATGCTACACACTTGAAGCTGTTCTATCAACACATTAGTTGGTAATAAGTAGTAGTTACATTGGTTATGGCGAAATAATCCCAAAGAGTTTTCCGATTCCTAGTTTTGAAAAAAATAATTCAGCTGGTCGCGCAAAACAATATCACCCAAATTCATAAAAAATAAAGAAGACTTTAACTGCTTTATAAATCGGAAATTTGTATGAAAATTTCACTTTATAGAGCTCTACAAATCTGTTTTATTTTTTATGAATAAAGCCATATAACTTTTAATTTCATAATTAAAAATTTTCTCACATTTTATCACTTACATACATACATATGTACATATCGTGTACAAGTGTTCTTACGCATACACCTTATTGATATGTATTGTTTGCACTTTTCAAAGCATTTAATTGAAGTCAAATGGTTATGCAAACAGTTCCGTATGTGCCCTTCTTCTTTTTCGTCATTTGAAAAGGAATTTTACATTCGTAGTATGTATGCTATTAAAATCTCGAGTATTTTGCACGAAAGGTGTCAGAAAAAGCAAAAAAACAAAAAAATACACTTCATTGCCAAGTTTCAATTCTGCAGACGAAAACGAAAAGAAGAAATTGGTGAGGGGAAATGGAATTATTCAAACACAAGTGGTGGAAGTAAAAATGCCACAACAAAAGAAAAGCCAAAAGCCAATAGTAATCCTAAATAATGAAAAGCAAGCAAGAGGAAAGTAGAAGCGTAAATCAGCGAAAGCGTAAAACCAGAACAAAACGTGCAAAAGCATATTGCATTCAAAATTGCTTTGGCATCGATGTGTCATACATAACTATATTTGTTATTTACAAATGCATGTATGTATGTTTAAGAGTGAAGTGTAAAAAAATATAGATTTAATAGATTATTTACAAAAAAAAAAAACACGCCAAAAATGGACGTTTTCAGCGCGAAGAAATACTTAGATTTGTTCATAACACCACGCTCTGCAGGCAGTTCCTTGTCGGGAGCCATAGACGTGGTCGACAGGCCCTGAACGGCATTCACAGGGAGTCAGTCTCGAGTTATGTAGGCTCTAGACCTGTGAATGCCGTTCTAGGTGCACAACCACCGGACATAGACGAGACGGAGCTTCATCTGCCTCGGGAGACAAGAACCACAATAGCCCAACTTCGCTCTGGCTACTGCAGCAGGTTAAACTCATACCTGGGCAGACTAAACGCGAATGTGCCGAATGAGTGTCCGGAATGCGGAGAGACACCACATCACTCGAAGCATGATTAAAAAATATTTATAAAATTTATATTTTTAAATATTTATATCATGACTCGAAGCATCTCTTCGTATGCCCGGAAAACCCAACAAGCACAACCCTAACGCCTTTGTCCCCGTGGACCGACCCCATAGAGGCTGTACGCTTTTTAGGGCTGCCGTTAGTGAAACTTGACGACAACGACTGAGATATTAACCGATCTGGCTGGGGTTGTTGTAGCCGCTACAGCAAAAACAACCACAACTAAGATTTGATTTGAGAGAAAATTTATGCTGCTGCGAAACTCGAACACTTTTTGGAAGACAGTTTTGAGGACATCATTTATTAGAACACCGATGTTTTATGGCAGGGATTTGCCCACTTGTTCTTTTACCCAAACTTTGTTCACATAACGGTTGTTTGTCACAGCCTAAAGAAATCAAAATAGATACAGAAATATGGGCGAATCCAGCGAAAAGTCAATATATTCAACTATTTTTATTGAGCCTGAGGTCGTTTTTAATGAAAACTTATTGTGGAAAAGCAACAATAATTTGAAAAAATGGTAGAAGTGATAGCTATTTCGGAAATCACCACATTTCCTCATCAGACTAGAAAACGGCCTCAAGCTCAATAAAAATTGTTGAATATAATTGTTATAAGGCCATAAAATAACAAAAAAAAAATAAAAGTCCTATAAGGTCTCGTTAGGTGGCGCCAGGGTCGAGATATTTTGAAAAACTGTATTTATGCTCTGATTTGTTTCACATTTGGCATGTTTAGTTGAAACGTAGTAGGACATAGATTTGCAAAAAATTGAACCGCTGGTGGCACTGATGTCAAAATAAAAAGTACGTTCGACATAAAATGCGTATTTTATTCCCGTTAAAAATCCTTTCAAGAACAGTACTAACAAAACTTTTTTAATGGAAATTTTAGTAACGTGACGCCATATAATTCAGCTGATTAAACATAAAACAGAAAAGATTTCTACATTTAAAAACTTGGAAAATTTAGCTTAAACATTTACAAAATAGCATTTAATTGCTATATAAATCATACAAATTTAAAATCTTTTAAAACTTTGACTTCAATATTTTTTTTTTAACATTTTGTCGTACGAGTGTCACGTAACGCCAAATTAGAAATACCCATATACAGTGACTCAAACAAGTGGCCGCGTCTTGATTTTTTTTTTTAATATTCTTCATTGTTATGTTATTATTTTTTTCTATAAAAATATTGTCCAAGCTTTAGCCGAAACCATATCAATCACAGTTTCAGACTTTATACAAAATTTAAGAAAATTCAAAAGTTTTAATCAAAACTTGAACTTTTAAATCCGAGTCTTTTTGCAATTTTTTCCATATAAGCATGAATTTCTTATGAAATAAAGTGCGGGATACTGTTTGCAACAAAATTAAAAAAAAAAAATCAACTCCAGTTTGTGTAAATTCCACTTGTTATATTAAAAAAAAAAACCGCAAAGGCAGTCCTAAAAAAACTCGATTTTTTAGCCGGTTAAAACTTGCACTAGACTAAAATTGTTTGTTTGGGCTATAAAACTGCATACCCAGAAATGTTATGATTGAGATTAAAAATTTGTTGAATTTTGCTAAATTTTGTATAAATATTTATATGGTTTTGGTTAAAGCTTAGACGGTATTTTTATAGGAAAAAGTAGAATAATTTTACTTCTTAGATCAATGCCGTCTTACATTTTCTTCTTAAACCAATTTTACTTAAAAAAACAATCACTTTCCGAAACATTGAGTGCCCACCGTAGCCTGGTGATCGGGACAAATCCATTTGTTACAAGTCTTGCACCACTTTTTTGTGGATGGACTTAGGGTTCAAGCCTTGGTCAAAGCTACATCGCAATGGCAAACCTCGGAGTGTAGTTCTGCCATGAAAAACAGCTTCTCATAAAAATGCAATCGCCGTTCGGAGTCGGCGTAAAACTGTAACATCAAGGCGCACGCCACAAATCGGGTGAGAAGCTCGGCCAAACACTAACATATTATTATAATTATTATATACAGTTACGGTCAAAATAATAGAATCAAGATTCACAATGATGCTGTTGGCAACTTATCTTTATTTATTTATTGTTAATAATTTTCATTTAATCATCAGATACCACATAAATAAAAGTTTCAAAGCTTGTACGAATTTCAAAAAAAAGATAATAAAACTTAAAAAAGTGTCATCAAAATTACAAACTTTTTAATCAGAATCTTAAGAACATTTTCGGGTATGCAGTTTTGTAGCTCAATCAATTTTAGTATGATAAAGTGCAAGTTTCAAGTCGCTAAAAAATACCGTTGATTTTTTAGATTTTTTTTTTGTGGAGGGTGGCGCATTTTTTCCATATAAATGTAAGTTTTGTTCATGCGTTACATACATGCTCGAAATATTGCTTCTTTATTATTTCATTAAGATTGACTATTTAGTGGTTCAAAGCTGTAACAATTTCGTGTCTTTTTGCACCGACATATGTACATACATACATACGTACATACATATGTATGTACGTAAAATTCTTTGAGCGGCTGTCAGCCGTCAGCGTATTGTCGAGACGTCGAATGGTCGTTGTCTGCTCTCGTTGCAATGTCTGCTTCTTGGATATGCTCTCCATACATATGTATTTATATTTGGGCGTTACCAACTGCTACTGGCGGGCTCTGACTTAAGGATCGCTGGCGCGGCTATTAGCGATGTTGTATCGAGCATAACATCACCTTTTATTTGTTTTTATCTCAACTTTTTCGGTACTTTCTTGGCATTAATTACGATTATTTTTATTTTATTTATTTATTTATTTATTTTTATTTTTTGAAAAGGTAAATAATAGAGTGTCATTTATGGGCGAATTCGCAACATTTTTCTCATTTGGGAATATTTTATTCAATATACTATATCAAAGTACATTATGTACTTATGTAAATATGTATGTTTAAAAGTACTTAAAAATTGCAAACAAAATAAAAATGCTAACATTCCATTTGCTTTTTTTTTTATAGAAATGTCAATTTCACCCTCACCCTCGCCGGAGAATCTCAGGATCTGTCTTGTTGGTGATGTTGTCAACGATGCGGAAACCGTGGAGGCTGCACGTTGCTTTAATGTTCCTGTCATCACCTCTGAGAATGGCTTGGATGTTCTCAACGATTATGAGTGGCGTACCTATTTTGTGCTGAAAGATTTTGAGGGCCCCATTTACGATGCGATACACAAGAATAAGCAATGGTAAGTGAGATAGATACAACAGCGCATATGATTGTTTGCAGATGGTAAATATCAAGTATGTATGTATGGTACATATGTATGTCGTATGTGTGTACGTACAGGCAGGCAAAACACATTCTTGTCGTACTTAGTTATGCTTTACGCAAATCTCTGCACGCGCTGACTAATTTTTGCAAAAACCCAAATCGCGCTGAAACATACATATATATACATACATATGTATTTAGAATGTTCTTAAATTAGCGCAAGTGTAGTATCTTTCAAATGGCACTCACTTGTGCATTGGGATCTATTTTTAGATAATTTCTATTGGATCTATTTTTAGATAATACATACATACATATGTATGTCCGTGTGCGGATATGGCACACCATAATGATTAAATGGTAGATGTTGTATTGCTTTGATTGTTGTTATGCTTTTGTTGTTTATTGCTTTTATTTTTAAGGGGTTGTGAGGCATATCAATGGTTTCCATAAATTGCCGCCATATGTCATCTTCGTTTGGCACCCTTTGTTGGCGGCCGGAAGTTTTGATTTGTGTAACTTGGGCACTTACATTAAATAGCGTGCCAGACGGGGCAATATTTCCAACTTTCGCTGCAAGTGCTGTCAAACCATTCGAGTGTTGCCGTGTGACATAGATCGCAAATTTGTGAGAAATAATAACCGAGCATTTTGAGTAAAATATCAAAAATGTTTGTAAATAATTATTTTTCGCAAGTATAAAGTTAATTATAACCAAGGCCAATAAAAAAAACAACCGGTAACGGGGCTTCCGGTCGGATTTTAGTACATATCGAGAAAGTTTGCCAGAAAACTATTCGCAGTGTGAACAGCCAAAATGCGTTTTCAGAATTTTTCCTGCAATTCGCTCTTTCGAAAGGCACTTTACAAGCAAAGTATGCATGAATCGTCCTGCAACTGCTTCCTGACATTTTTCAGTTTGAGGCTGGTAGTCGATAGTCGTCTACAAACGCTTACTCTACTCAGCTCTGGGAATAAAAAAGAAGTATGCAAATATCTCTAAAGGTCCTACCTTTTTTAATCCTAATTGGCGGTTAAGTGCGAAAGAGAAAGGTAACAGGTTGTTAATATGATAAAATAAGGAAAGATACAAAAAACGTATTAGTTCCTTACACTGAACCAAAAATCCAACTCTGGGTCAAAGAAAAACTTTCCTTACTTCAAGGTCGAAAATTCTTCCGAATGTGTAATTATTCTTTGGAATGTGTAAAAACGTACACGAAAATATGGAAACGTGGATGTAATCTATCATTTTGAAGAAATGTTGTTGTTGTTCCTTCCCATTTTTCTTCATTTTGATTGCTGTTTTTCTTCAATTAAGAGAAGTTTCTTTTTTTGGGTGTAAGATTAAAATATTCGATTTGACAGAAATGTCAAAAGTAGATATACTAAAATGGATAGCGAGACCGTTGTTCGCCGTCCATCTAGTCACCCCGTTTAGCTAACCTTAGGTTAGATTATAAAAAGGTGTTGTAAATTTGTTTTTTATTTCTAATAAAATATTTTCGGAATTCTCACCAAAATTTTTTCAGTTAAACTTAATTTGCTGTAGTTCGTATTATCTGAAATTTCATTAATAAAGGCTTATTTTTGACCGACCTAAGAAATGTATGTTCTTTTGTTTTGATTAGTATTTATCTAAAAATTGGCCCAAGCATTTCCATTGTATGAAATGGAAATACATATATCTGTATCAATTAAAATTAAAATTGATTGCTTATTTTTCATATACAGCCTCATTGCGAGAGTCGTGTCGAATGCTAATCGATTTTCGAGAGTCCAATCGTATCGAAAATTTCATGTTATTGCCTAAAATTTCGACTCGACTAGAGTAAACTCACCTTGCGATATATTGGTGGTGAGTTTTGTTAAAATTACACAAACTACCAGGATGAAGAATATATGTTATTGTGTATTTCTGACAAATTGAAGCAAAAAGTAAGAAGTTTTTTATATTTTGAGCATTAAAAACATTTGATTGATTAATGTAGGAACAAAAACCAAATGTATGTGCATTTTTAATTGATTCAATAGTTTTTTTCAGTGTCAAAATATGTATATTTTTAAATTCAATTTATCAAGTCTGTTTTGTTAACAAACATATTAACATACATATAAACATTTATGTAGTTCTTCGAAAATATAATGTGCTTCTTCAGATTTATTGAATACAAAATATACACCAATCAAAAAAAGTTTCCAGTACAATTTCCTTTTACAATATCTGTGCATAATGTTTTTCACAAAAATATTTTTTTTCGTAAATTTTTTATAAAATATAATTCTATAACATAAACTATTTGAACATAAGTTTCAAACTTGTTCTAAAATTCAGAAGAACTCGCAAAATTTTCAGGAAAATTTCAAGTTTTTTTGGCAAAATTTTTTTAAAGTTTTTTGTTATGCAGTTTTGTAGCCCATACAATTTTATTATAATAATATTCCGATTTGAAGTAGCTACAAAATCCCGTTGATTTTCGATATCTTTTGCTGACGGCATCAAACATTTTTCCGTGCAAAGTATGTTTTTGTATATAAATTTCTTCTGTAAAAAAAATTTATTTGTTTTAAAAAAATTTAAAACAATTGAAATCATACATACCACACTCATATCGGACGCTTTTTGCCACGAAACCTAAAACTCGCTTGACTTACAGCTAGTGATATATTTATCGCAATATCTTTTTCACCACAGTTACAGAAACACTCGCTTGCGATAAAAGTGAAAAAGCGTTATATTTTACGATATAAGGTGTATCGCAAGGTTACAGAAACGCGCTACTGGTAGGTAGACAGAAAATAATACGCAATGCTGCTACATTTCCGATGTGCTTCTAAAAAGCGCAATTTTTTTTTTTTAATTGCTTGTCGCTCGCCCACCACAGTCACCCCTGTGGCGCCTGCAAGCAAGCTTTCCACTTTCCACCACTCACAACGCCATATATCATAAATATCCATCTGTCCGCAAATATGTAAGAGCATATGTTAATACATACGAACGTGTGTACCAGGGAAGCCAACTCGTGGGGAATTCCCCGATTTGCGTGGGGAATCGGCGAATGGACCGTTTTTTGTGGGGAATTTCAGTGAACATGGGGAAGCGGGGGTTGCATTTTTGTGGGAATTAGGTGTACAAAATTTTCAATTCACTAATTTCATAATAATTTAAAAATAAAGTAAGTTGAAATGTCTCACCCGT